TATAATATATTAATTATATCATATTATATACAATATATATAAATAAATATATATAATATATATAATATAATATTATTAATATTATTATTATTTAGTCACTTCCATCAAGCATTACCCTTCCAGTGGTCTTCCAACAGACACTTCAATTGGTTATAGCATAGCGAGAGACAAGAGATCCTTATAGTTACCTGAATATTCTTTTTATTCTACACTACCCTTTTTTCTGTCTTTTTAAAATGTAAACTTAAAAGCAGACTTACTGTTTTTATTGATCTATAAGCCATACTAGGATACTTTCAGTTTGAAGTGCGGGCTGTAAATTAAATGTACCAATTAATACACAAGTAAATAAACCTGTCCAGTCAAAATATGGTGCAACTATATAAGTTATGTTCTTTCTCTCCCCTCAGCCTTGTAAAGAAACAGAAAGAGGTTAATGGAGAAGCTGACTGCTTTTTTTATTCTGGGCAAAGTGATAGTCCTTTCTCTTGCTTTTTCCTAATTATAAGAGAAACAGCCTGGGTTCACACATAGTACTAAGCTTTAATGAGATTGGATTAATTTTGGCCTCATGTAATGAATTAAGTCATTAAGGCTTAGCATTACACGAAACTCAAGCCACAATAGTTTATTCAGCAAACATGATTAAATCCTCATGTAGCAAATGCCATTGGAAAGAATGGCTTGGTTCATGTTCAGTATTAAGCCTTAAATCATATCTATAGGCCAGTGGTTGAGTTTATCTATTATACTAAACCAAAACTACTCAAACAACATTATGGCTTAAAGCAATGTGTGAACCCACCCAATGTGAATCTGTCCAACCAAAACTTAATTCTTTCCAATCGAAACCTACTTAACCAAACTAGAATGAAGTACTTGAAATTGTCTTTGCCTTTGTTTCTGGGAAGGGATACAGTTTTCTAGAGGCAGGCAAAGAGCCTTTTTGTTGTTGTTGAAGAAGAAAAAAGGATTTTTAAAAAAGCAATCAGATGCAGAAAAGTTTTTTATACACAGCCTCCATTGATATGGAAGTCAGACACAGACCCAACTTACATGATCACCTGAGATAATCACTGATTGCCCAAAACTGAGATTGCTCAAATACATTCAGTAGATGGCATTTTGCAGCATAGTTAAATTTATAAAAGTAGAACTATTTAGAATGAATGAATGATTGTAAATAGGTTCTTGGTGTTTTCCTGCATGATGCATGATGTTTTATTATCAACTAATGAACCAATTTAAGCATCTATAAAATTGCATTTTAAAGTTAATGTACAGAAATAAAATATTGCAAACTCCAGAAGTCTAATAATTACATAGGATTTGGTACAACAAAATGCTTTTCCAATCCCTTGAGAGTTCTTCTTCTGGGTGAAGTTTATGAGGATTGTTACATGTAGCAGTACTGGTAAAATTTGGAAATTCAAAATTAGCTTTTGAAAAGCTAAACAAATAAAAATTTGAAGTGTGACAGATTAATACTTTTTGCTAACAAATTAGAAACTTTTGTATATATGTAATTTATTTTTTATTCCTTTCACAGGAACTGGACATCTGAGCTACAGTGCTGAAGTAGATAATAAGATGATCTCTTTATAGAAGCATCTGTTCACATTTAATAATGCTATCAAGAATTGAAATGGAAAAATAGATCTAATACTTTAACTTTTCTTGATAAAGATAATTTTATTTTTAGTAGTATAACGTTGCAGGACTTTTCTACAGTTTTAATAATGGCTTTTCAAAAATAGCTTTCAACTGAACATTGTAGGAATGTCCTTTTGGTTCCTCTTAAAGACAAGTCTGAAAAAAAAAAAGCCCACCTGAAGGAAATCTTAATTTATTATCTTTTTTCCTCTAAGCATGGTTTTATTACTAGGAGTTGAGTTGTTATACATAAAGTTTATATGTTTAAAGTTTATTGCTTATATAATAAACAAACAAAACAATTACCTATAGTCTGTGATATATAGAACCATATTGTGCTTTTCCTAAGCAGTTATGTTAAGGTTCTGCTTATATGCTTATTAGGTTTGCTGTGTCTTAAAACATTACCTTACATTTTGATATCCAGATATGAACATTGTTTTAATATGCTAGATCATTTAGAACCCATTTCTAATCTGGTCTGCAGGACTAGCATACATGGACTCTGGTATTTGTTTATCAAAACATATACACTGCCCAGCTCATATAATTCTAAGTAGTTTATATAATTAAAAACAAAAACAATCATATCAAAAATTGTAGAACTACAGTACAATAATCCTATCATATCAAAATGATAGTTGCCTAATCACCAGAAAATCTTTCAGAAAACCAGAAAAATCGATCTGTCTGGTTAAATAATGTAGACATTACCACCTTGCAGAATACCGTAAGGAAGGTGCTGAGCCTACTTGTGGGGCTAGGATGTTCCATAGTATGGAACCATTATAGAAACGGCCTATCTTTGGGTTCATGTACCTCTGAACTGACACACTGATGGGACCTTTAAGCATCCTCTCATTATATACATGCACAGGACAAGCAGATTCCATGTGGAGGAGATAGTCCCTAAGGTATTCTGATGCAAAGTCATACAAGGTTTTATAGATCAAAACCAGCATTTCAGAATGAACATGAAAACCTATTAAATAACTACTATGGTTACAGGATAGGTATTACATTATAATGGCAATTTTCACCTGTCAGCATTCTGATTGCCATATTTAATACCACTTGTATCCTCCAGGTCAGCTCTATAGAATGTGTTACTTAATCTAACCATGTGGTAAAAAGGGGTGAGTTATTATCTCCAGGGCTTTGTTGAAGTTGGGGCACCAACCTATGCTAGAGGAAGACTCCCAGCAGTCTTGTATAGAAATTAAATAGTAGTAGAGAGATAGCTAAGCAGCCTATACAGTACAGTATTGGAATAACCAAGGATCAGACTATTCTTCCCTCACTGTTCTTGCCTCCTGAACTAAAAGCAGACCCACTATAAGACACTGCCTCCAGCAGTCAGTGAAACCAGTACAATCACAGTGCCTCCAATCTCTAGATGTCATGGTCAATGACATCAAAAGCTGCTGAGAGACATGTAATAACACCAAGGAGGACACACTCCTGTCCCTTAGGTATTGACAGAAGTCATTCAGTAGAGTGACCAGTGCTCTTTCTGACTTATGCTTGAACCTTAATTCAGAATGGAAAGGATCAAGATAATCCACTTCAAGATAAGGTGGACTGCTGTTGCTGTCAAGGCTAGTAGCATCATACCCTCCCTCAAAGACACATTTACCTCTTGAATACAGCTACTCATATTTCTTCTACATTTCTGAAGAAACAAAGGATGTGACTCCAATCTGAAACTCATACTGCTGTGTTTATACTAAGTAAAGTATTTTTTTTTTTAATAACATCTTGCAAGATTGGCCAATTTCACAAGTTTTGGAATTAATGCCAAAATCTCACAATTTTGGACAGGGTAAGCAATATTTGGTAAGAATTGGCAATCTTGCAAAATGTTAGCTCTTTTTTTAACAAAAATACTTTTGGGGGCCCTGTGGACACCAGCTATATAGGGTAGGCTCATAAGCCCCCGTGCCTCTGAGTTCCATATTGCTAACTTGTGGCTAAGTGGTGTAGAAGTCTCTTGATACTTTCTGCACAAAGGAAAAGTTTGGTGTCTACCTTTCTAGACAATTCAAAGCTATTAGAAATAGATACAAATAACAGTATTGCAAAGAAATAGCTTATTTGCACTGTCACCAGCTGACTGGATTATCAGTGTTCCACCATGTCCTGCCCCTTGTGTTTTTCCAAATTTAATACTAAATATTTATTAGTATGACATTCCAAATATATTAATGATTTAATATGATTTTTAAAAATATTTTAAAAATAAAATATGTTTTTAAAAATAACTTTAGTAAAACCAGTTTCTGTAGGGTAGGAAGCATCTGTTACAGTAAATCAGCATATACATCATGTTAGACTTCTTGAGAGGTTAGGCTGAAACTAACACAGCAAGCACCCAAGAATCCAGGAAATAATTTACTGGAGTAAACCTAAAAATCATTATGAAACAATTGTAGCAGGCAGTGAGTATCAAGTACAAGTTCTGTCTAGAGTAATCAATGTTCAAATTTCTTGCATCTTTTTCTTTTTTGTGGGGAGAGTTTCTTCCTATCTGTTAATCTAATCCCTTTTCATACCCCAGTAATCTTATCAGATACTGTATGTCTAATTGTAATAAGGGTCCACTTGTATTTTCCAGCTTCTGTCCTAAAGATTGGTCTTGAGGCACTTTTAATGTGAAAACCTGCTTGGTTATATAGTGCTACTGCTATACACCCTTCGAATTGTTTTCAGTTTTGAAGAGTTCAGAGGCTAACTTCTCAAGATTACAGTTGCTTCCCTTCTGTAGGTGTTCTGGCTGTCAGAAGTACTATACCACACTGTCTCAAATCCATGTTTATTTCCTCTAATTAGTGGTTGGTAAAAATGAAGTTGTGTATAGTCACTTTTATATTGCATATATTACTAAATCTACCTGTAAGTAAAGTATATTTTTTTCAGTAGGTAGGGAAGCTCAATGCTTTTGTAAGTCATGATTTTCTATTCTGTTAATAATAATAATGTTTATTATTATAATATTTTTTTATTCCACCTTATCTATCAATCTGTCTGTTGGTAGCGAACATTTGTAATACTCCTATCTCATATGTTCCCCACAGCAATAATCCTGTGAGGTAGATTGGGCTGAGAAAGAGTGTCTGGCCCAAATGCGTGTATTGTCTTTTATTAAAGCTTTGATTAGAAAATGTAAAGGACTGTAGAGATAACTTGTTGAAGGAATGGATGAGGTGTTAAGGGAGGAAAAATGACACCTCTGACCTGGGAAAGTGGAAAGCAGAAAAACTCAACTTTGTCTTGATTCTATTTGGTATAAAGCAGCAGAGAAAATCTGACAGGTTTTAAGATTCTATTATACTCTATAACAGTGAACTACCATTCAAATTAATTGTCATTTTTCCTCCCCTAATGGCTCATCCATTCTTTCATCAAGGTTATCTCTACATTACAGAAGATGCAGATTTCTAAAATGTAAAAAAATTCTGTTGAACAGGTATAAACTAGGACAGCTTTTAGCAGCTTTATACAAATAACCGAGTTCTTCCTTTAGAATCTTCTGTGCTACAATGTGTCTTTTTTATTTGCAAAACAGTCCTCAAGACCTGGGATTTTAAGTCTAGGTATACTTTATACAAGGGGTATTTTCTTCATCTGACTTCACACTGCTGAGAATATAATGGACTAGATGGAAGCAGTTTTGTTATATTAGGTTCTTGGTCTTAACACAAGATAAAAACATGGCTTGAACAAGGGTGGCCAAGATGACAGAAGCATACAATTGGCATGGACTTCTGTGTTGTGCCTGTCAGAACAGAGACATTTTTTTTCTGGTTCTGAGCTTTTATACTGCATTTCTAAGGATGCATGTGAAAACTTTCTCTAATTTCCTCCGTAGAAATGGATAGCCATTCATTTTCTTTCAGAAAAGCAAATTGCTACACTTAGGCCACACTCCTCAGTCACTATCTGTTACCAGGACTCTTGATTCCTGCTTATAATGTACAGGAGATGAGGTCTCTGTCTAGCTCTGATCCTGTCTGACCATAGTACCTTCAGTAGGCCTCCAACAAAAATCCTACCACCTGTTCCTTTTACTTGGGGGGTCTATGATTTTTGCATGTAAAACTCTGAACTGAAATATGGCTCTTAGGATACATCACCTTTTAGCATTCTGAACAATAGAAACTCTGACTGCATGCTCAGGAGTTCCCTGGTACTAACCTACCAGCTGTGTGGAGAGATGTTGGGCTGTGCATGGGATCTTTGATGGATGAAGGAAGGGGGCAAGGGTTGGGGGTGAAAGGACAACTTGTGGGGGGATGGTTAGAGATGGGAGAATATTGGAGTGCTGACAGAGAATAGGAGATAGCAGATAGCCTGGTTTGAGTCCCTACTAGTGAGGTTGGGCCTTAACAATCAATTAGATGTTCTGCTACTGTACTGGCCTCCCTGCTGCTTAGCAGCTCCTTACCAGCTCTGCTTAAGAACATCTCCAGGCTGGTGGTGACGTTCCACACGCTTATGATCCTGGGGGACACAAATCTGCCATCCTTGGAGGCAGCACAGGAGTATCACAGGCTTGACCAACACCTTGTACCTGGCTTTTGTCTCAGGGCATGATCTGGAGTTGAAGGATGTTGCCTTCTGTCCCTTGTCATGGATAATAATTATCTGGTGAACCTGGAGGCTTACTGTAGTACCCTTCCTCTGCAGGGAAGAGGGGCCTATTCATTTGGCCTGCCAGAGGAGCCTAATGCACCCTATTAGGTTTCAGGAGGTCTTGGTTTTTTCCTGGGGATTTGATACATGGTTTGACTGAGGCGTTGGTTGCCAGTTGGAATAAAGCAGTGGCAGCAGCTTTACATCAAATTGTGTCTGTGCAGACTCACTCTGTGCAGACTCTGGTATGCCCCTGGTTTTCAGAAGGCCTCAGGAGGATGAAGCGACAGAAGAGATGCCTAGAGCACTGCTGGTGGAAAACTAGGAGCGAACCTCACTGGACACAGGTATCAGCCTTAATTAGGGCCTACTTTGCGGCACTATGGGTGGCAAAAAAGGCTTTCTTCATCCTTGTGTCTTCTGGTTTTGGCCAACGGCCCTGTTCAGAGCAACCCAGTCCCTTTTGGGTCAGAAGGGATTGATGGAGCATCTGCAGTGTTGCTATGTGTACTATTGACACCCGTGGATAAAATCACTTGAATTAACTCTGACTTAGTCTCCAGCAGAGCAGGTTCTATGGAGATCACAGTCTTGTGATGTTATCTGGGATGAGTTCAAGCTTGTTAGTCCCAAGGAAGTAGACAGGATCCTCAGAACTAGGTATGGCCCCCTGTATATTGCATTCATGCACCTCTTGGTTGGTTAATGTAGGCGGATCCATATGGTAGTAAATGCCTCTTTGAGAGAGGGGACAGTTCTACCTGCTCCTCAAGAGACTATCCTTGGATCCAACCAATCTGGACAATTTTTTTCCAGTCACCACCCTTCCCTTTTTAGGGAACATTGAGAAAATTGTTGGCCTCCAGCTTCATAGGCCTCTGTAGGAAGCAGATTATATGGACCCTTTCCAGTTGGAATTCAGACTGGGGTATAATACTGAGATGGCTTGGTCATGCTTGTCAATGACCTGTGGCGAGCTTGGGATGGGATGGCACATCCATCCTGGATCTCTCAGCCACCTTCAGTACCATCAATGATGGTGTCCTGGCTGATAGGGCTGGGAGAGGGGGGCACCATTTGGTGGTTCTCCATCAGAAGCTGGTTTCAGTCAGTGTTGCTGAGAGGGATGTGATTGAGCTGTAGGCCTCTGCTTTGCAGGGTGTCTCAGGACTCTACCCTCTTCCCCATTTTTCATTATCTACATGAAGCCACCAGGCGAGGTCATCTGTTGGTATGGAGTGAGGTATCATCAATATGCTGATGATGCCCAGCTGTATGTTTCTACTCTTGGCCATCCAAATGAAGTTGTTGAGGTTCTGTCCCAGTTGTCTGGAGGTTGTGAGGGTCTGGATGGGAAAGAAGAGGTTGTGGCTCATCCCTGCCAAGACTGAGTTGTTCTGGGTCCATCTTTGGTTCTGGACATGGTGACACTACCCTGTTCAGACTTGTTGCAAAATCTGGGGGATCCTCCTGGACTCACAACTCCTGCTTGAATAGGTGGCAGCCATGGGCAGGAGGGCTTTTGCACAACTTTGTTTTGTGCCCCAATTGCTCCCCTTCCTGGACTTTAGATGGTCACTCATGCCTTAGTCACATCTGAGTGGATTACTACAATCTGCTCTACAAGGGGCTGCCTTTGAAGACCATCAGGAAGCTGCAGCTGGACCAGAATGCAGTGGTGCAGGCAATTACAGATGCACCTTTGTTTGCCTGTATCACAATGCTATTCCATAAGCTGAATTAGCTACCAGTGTGCTTCTGGGTGGAATTCAAGGTGCTAATTTTAACTGTAAAGCCCTCCATGGCATAGGGGTGGGTTATTTGTAGGACTGCTTCTTCCCAGTTGTTTCTACCCATCCCTTTAGATCCAACAAGAGGGGCAAGCATTGAGTCCTTTCAATTAAAGAATGTCATCTTATGGAACGTCACAAGTGTGCCTTTTCTGTCCCAGCGCCTGCCCTCGGGAATGCCAAGATCAGACTGGGGGGACCCTGCCGGCTTCTCATAAAGCCTTTAAGACCTGGACGCGCTTCAGGGCCTGGGGCTCAGAAAACTAGATGGCCCATTGAGTGGTCGGTCTTGATTGTTTGTCTGGGTTTACCCTCGGTGACCATTGTAGGTTTTTGCCCTTTGTTAACGCTGCTTTTTATGGCTTTAACGTGTTGTTAGCTGTCCTGAGTCGCGTTCGCGAGATGGGCGGCCATATAAGTCGATTTAATAAATAAATCTCGCGGTGAGCAACGCTTTCTCCCGGCTACCGCCGGATGGCCAGAGATAGTATCGACCGGCCACGGCGGGGCATTCGCGTACCTTTACCCTGCTAGTCGGCGGCACTGCTCGTCCGCGGCGAGGAGGCAGCACTCCCTTTGTAGTGCCACTTCCTCCACCGCTCCAACCTTGGCGCACGAAGGGTCTCGAGAAAGGGCGACACCCACCCATTTAGCCAGCCCATTCCCTTGCAGCGAACCGCTCCCACCGCCCCTTCGCTTGTGCTCCCGCCCTAACGCGCGCGCGCACTCTCGCTCGCTGCCTCTCGCAGTTCCAGGTGGGATCCGTTTTCCCCTCTTCTTTTGCATTTGTCGCTGGTGCGTCAGGTGCTTTGTCGTCCCCCACCTCGTTTTTTTATGTCAAGAAACAACTCCCCCTTCCTCTTTTCTTTGGAGGGCGGGAGAGTTTCAGAGCCGGAAATAAAATGCAACCTTGCTGCTATTGCAATGGGCACTGACTAGTCGAAAGGAAGCAAAGAAGACGTTGCTGTTTCTGCAGTCGGAGAAAAGAAGCTTTCTGTAATTCATCCGACTCCATCGGCTCGGTTGCCTTTCACCGCCTTCCAAACCTCAAACTTTCACCCTGTCTGGCGGAGTCCCAACTCGACATAAATGGGTAAGTGTGAACGTAGACAGAGCTTAGGGTATGCGCCCGTTTTTCTTCCTCCCCCCGCCTTTTTTTTTTTTTTGGCTATCTGAGACTAGCTGCGTGGCTGATTCCAAGGCAGGCCGAACCGAGTGGTCGCTATTGCCGTTCGCCTCTTCTGGCATTACTCCAGCAATGGCAAGTATCGTGAGGCGGGGTGGGACACATCCGAAGGGTGTGTCTTTTCTATCTCCCTCTATCCGATTGGGGGAGGGGAGAAGGGGGAGCATCAGGTCTGTTTTCCCAGCCACCCCTAGAGACCTTTAACACTCTTGTCTGCGCGTTGACTCGCTTGCAGCGGCGCGTGGAGGTGCAGAGCTGGCTGCTGGAAGGGCTTGAATGAAAGCCGGGAGGCCAAATCTCTCTCTTGTTGTCACGCGCTGTCAAAACAACACTACCATCAATACATAAACGAGGGGGCGGTGGGGGGCGGTGGGATTCCTTCTGTGGCGTCGCCGTTGCACCACCCGGCGTGGCTGCCGTAACGCAAGAGACTGAAAGCGGATAGTTGGCGGAGGAGGGGGGCAAGAGGATGAAGTAGAGAAAAGATGCCGGGGACGGGCGGTTGGAGAGCACGAGCGAGCCGCCTTCTCTGGCATCCGGGCGAGTTACCGCTTTTCATGTCAGTGGAGCGCGAGCGGGCAGGCCGATGCAGAAATTAGCCTCAGTAATATGACAGGAAATCGGAGGGGCGTGTTACCCATTTGACTTCCCCCCCTCTTTTTCCAGGGGAAGGGACGAGAGCTGTGGGCTCTTCCTCCCGCCCCCTGTTCCTGACACCGCACGAAATGCCTGGCTGGCTGCTTTAAGCAGCATCTCCCTTCCTCTCCCCTGTAGAGACGCCTAACGGGCAATTAGAATCCACGACTTTCTTTGCATACCTGCCTGGCTCTGCTCCTGGGAGGTGTGGCAAGCTTTTGGAAAAGGCTGCAGCTGTTGAGCCTGATTGAGCTTGGCAGCCAGCCATCAAGAGGGCATTCTAGGGTTACCAGATGTTGTTTAAAATAGACTCACAGAGGACTGCCTTGCAAACTGTGTTGGATCCTTAGAGCATCAGTGCTCTGGAATGTCTCTTCTCCCTCCTTTTTTTCTCTATCAAAGTTCCAGCTTATAATCTAATTGACATGCTTGATGAGAAAGATGTCTACTCAGAAAAGAGCAACAAAAAGGTAGTATTAAACTAATATGGAGCTTCCTGTGTACTAACCTCTTCAGGAATTTGGAGACAGAAAGGCTATGAGATTTGTTAGAAATCTCTTTTGTGGCATGTTAGCAAAATTAAGGAATGACTCAACTATTCATATTGCTATTAGGTTTCAAGAGAGGCAGAAGAAGTAGCAGTGCCAGGCACTAGCAGTCTGAAGGGCAAGGGGTCTGTTTCTGCCCAAAGAAGGGACTGCATTCACTCATTCTCCTTGGGTTTGTCGTAAATACAATGACTCTCTGTCTGGCAAATACTCATGCTATAGGAAAGTAGGGTCTTTTGAAATAGCCAGTACGGTCAAATAATTACAGAATATTTTGGTTTTGTGCATTGTGCATAGACAATAAAATATTTTCAGAATTTCATTTGGCAAAGATAAGATATGTGTTCTTTATTCTGGGGAATCATTCAATGTCATTATAAATGAGTAGGGAAGATGCTTTAGGGGAAGAAGTTTTTCATGTTTGCTAAAAAAGTTTTCAGTTACCCAGATTTAAATAAATGTATTGCATTTTATTCCATGTATCCCATCATTTGCCTCTGTTTTTCACTTCTGAGCTTCGTGCGATCCTGTAATAAAACATTCATCCACTATGCTGGTATTGTATTCAAAATTTAGTTGTTTCATATAATTGTTAAAATTGTACAAAGGACTTCTAATACAAGGATGAAGGGTTGAAAGGCATTACAGTAATATGCTGCTGTGCAGGATGTGGCTAAGTTCTCATATTGTACTAAATCATAATGATGTGGCTTATTTGATTTTAAAAAAATATTGCGTGAACTGATTTTCCATCTGATTTTTAAACCGTTATTTTTAGCTTCATGTGTTGTATAAAGCAAGACAAAAGTGGTTTATTCAGTATATTATAATGAAAACAAAAAATCGCTTGGCACAGCAAAGTAATGAGATCTGTATGGGATATTGTATGTGACATGGTAGTTAGAGTGAAAAGAAAAACATGAAATACGGCTTTTTGATATTCTGCTGTATAGTTCCATTTGTGGATGGTGGAGCACTCTCTACGGAACTAAACGCTCCCTGCTGGTATCCTATATTATGTAACTGGGCATCTGATGGATGATATTTATGGTTTTTGTTGGTTAATCATGGATGGACTGCTATGTCATTATTGTTTATATTTATTGCTGAGTTTCTGTATTTTTGATTTTATCACTAATCATCCAGAGTTGTATGAACTCTGTGATATATAAGTATTATTAAATAAATTTTTAAGCGATACCCATGCAGGGGCCTTTTTAAGTGTGGTTTCTCATTATGGGATTCTCTGCCTTTCGGATAAGCTTCAGGCATCTTAAACCAGAATTTCAGCTTAATCATTTGCCTAAGACACACCTCTGTACCCATGTTTTGACTTCTTTTGATGTGTTTGATGTGTATGTGTACAGTTTTGTAGCATTCTTTTATATATTTGTCGCTTGTATGATACTTGTAGCTCTGTAGACTGTTCTTATTGTTATGATTCATATATAATAATTTTCAATCCTCAGACTACAAAGTTTATAATGATTCTGTAAACTTTTTACACAATATAATTTTCTTCAAATTTATTGACAACTGTCTTAGAAAATATGGATCTGAACTCCAGGAATATGAATATGATTAAAGAATACATTTCAGATCTTGATCCCAGTTTCATTCCATGAAGAAAGTACAGTAGTACTTAATAGGTAAATGCTGTTAGGCAGTGATTGGCAGAGACATGTTATGAATTTATCATGTACCAAGAGAGTATACAAACTTTATTTAGATTTTAAAAAATCAATAATATTTATGTGGAAAGGTGTAATGGAGTTTAGACCCCATAGCCTTAAAATTGGAAAAAGCTGTAGGAAGTATTCAGATAAATCCATTCTTTTCATGCACATAATATGTCTCTAATAAGTATGACACAACTTTTCCTTTCTAAAATTGTATTTACATTACAGAACAAATTTCCTGCTATTGCATGCATTCTCATCTCTGATTTACATCTTGAGTGCAATCTGATGTGCTATTATTTTTTTTGCTACTGGATAGGAATATATAAGACGTGGATGCCACAACAATGTTGATTTTTGTGCAGTAGGGTCTCATTCAGACGAGAAAATAATTTATCTTCAAGGCTCTAGGATGAATTAAAATGACATTTTTACATTAAAAAAAACTTTCTAAAAATTTTTAAGCATGGTCTTTTATATGTCTGCTTTATTGCCTGTCTTTTCTTAAAATTATACAGTAAGAAGGAACCAAATGGTAGTCTTTTTTCAAGCAGCTACTGCAAGATAGGCAAGCACTAGAAATGAACACACACAAGCCAGATCAGATCAGACCTTGGGAGAAAGGGTTTATAACATACTGTATAAAGAGTCAGTCTTCAGGAAAAATACAGAAATTATTCAAACACAAGAATCAAGCCATTTGATTAGGAAAGACCAAAACAGAGACTACAATCCCTCCCCCTCACCCCCCCCCCCCCCCCTC